GTCACTAATATCACTGAATGAAGCCGTGGAGCTACAGCATCACACTGTAAACATCACGTTGCCATGGGAACCAGAGGTTTATTTAGTTGCTGATGCAGAAATCCCATAAATATGTTTTAATGTTTGGTTCTGATCTGCTGTCAGGTCCGTTTCCTCTGCTGCTGCTGCAGCTGATAGAACGGATCAGAACATGGATCATTCTGCTGGTATTGATCATAGAGAACATTCAATCAGTAACATTGGTTTTGCTAATCTGATTTTGTTCGTGGTCTTGTTGTTGTTTCAGGGAGACGCCGGTCTGATCCCGAGGATCTGTGAAGGTCTGTTCAGTCGGATCTCTGACACCACACGATGGGACGAGGCTTCATTTCGCACAGAAGTCAGGTGAGAGTCGGAGAGCTTCCAGGTCAGAGTTGGTGCCGTGAGGATTTATAATGAAGTGAAAATGAAACCACGGTAACGGTGTGTAACAGCCCATAATAGTCCCGCTGTGAACACGCTAATGTTGAGGAGCCCAAAGCTACATCAACATGGAACTCTGAGGCACAAGCTGCTGCTTCTGTGTCTTCAGCTACCTGGAGATCTACAACGAGAGAGTGAGAGACCTGCTGAGGAGGAAGTCCACGCAGACCTACAACCTGAGAGTCAGGGAGCATCCCAAGGACGGACCCTACGTAGAAGGTAAAGCACCGGAAACGACACTTCATCTGGTAACGGCACTGCAAGACGTCAGCTTACGAGTTCATGTGGTCCGACTGTTGATGTCGTTTTCTGACCCTGATTTTATCTGTCCTGCAGTGTTGCACATTTGAACCCAATTTAAGTCTTCTTCTTCTTCTTCTTCTTCTTCTTCTTCTTCTTTATCTTGCAATTCTTCCTCCTCTTGCTCTTCATCTCCTTGCTCTTCTTTTTCTTCTTCTTTTTGTTTTTCTTCTTGCTCTTCTTCCTTTTCCTCGTGCTCTTCTTTTTTTCTTGGTCTTCTTCTTCTTCTTCTTCTTCTGTGATGGTTTCATGGCACCAGCTGTTTATGTTGAAGTGCTGACCTTCTGGGTCATTCCATGAATAATTCATCAGTCCCCTCTGACCTCCTCAGAACATCTGGTTCTGTATCTGCAGCACATTTATCTACTGACCAGAGTTCTACCTTCAGACTGTGAATACTACAGAGTTCCTTGAAGTCCACAGAGGAGGGTCCAGATTGATCACTTTAATGGACTTTTTCCATCATTTCTGAAACTTTTTAAAACAACATTTTCCCTGTTTTCTTAAGTTTCAAACCGACTCTAAAACGAGAATGTTTTACTGTATTTAAATAATCTCTAAATATCAGTATTTTACAGATATTTGCTGTTATTTTTGCAGTTTGAATGTCTTGTTAGTGGCACTCTCTCTGCCAGGTTTTAAGTCTAGTTTTGTCTTTGTAGAATAGATTTTCTCACAGGCTGCTTGCGGCTACTTTGCGCCTCAGTCCAGGTTGGTGCTGCATCTCTGAGTCCACACCTGGTTCTTATGCTTCCTCCTGCCCTCAGATCTGTCCAAACACCTGGTGCAGAACTACAGCGACGTCGAGGAGCTGATGGAAGCTGGGAACATCAACCGAACCACTGCCAGCACCGGCATGAACGACGTCAGCAGCCGCTCGCACGCCATCTTCACCATCAACTTCACCCAGGTCGGCCGCACAGCTTCACCCGACTCCTTAACCGGTGCTCAGAAACAGCCAGTAACCCGCCAGGCGCTGAATCGGTGAAGGACCGGGTTTGTTTGTCACATAGCGGTGAAGTCATTTTTGATGTTCGCTGTAAAACTGACTCGGCTGCTTCAGGAGTCTGAAGAACAGAATCAGTAGAGACACCAGAGTTAGAGCTTAGACTGCAGAAAGTACAACATCTAACAACATCTAAAGTATTAAACAAGTCATGAAACAGTCCTCTGTGTCCTCAGTTTAACATTTGTATTTGATTACCAATTACAAAATTGATCAAATATCCATGTAATGATTAATCCATAGGCCACAAATTGTATATTTACTAAAAATAAAAAATGGCTGACAAAGAAGATGTATCCCTAGAACTAAATGAATAATTCAGAGTTAGTGGAGTCGTGACTGTGTTTAGCCCCCAAAACACATTTATTTAACATATAATTAATGACAATAAATAACACTCTATTAAAGACCAGCGTCTCAGATTTGAGGCTTTGATGCTTTTCTTTGTTTTGCGTGTTAGTAAAAGGAAAATCTTCGACATTTGAACGTTTGAACAGTTGATCACGCCTCCTTAAATAGTTCATTCATTCGTTTTACCTTTATTTAAACTCAGAACACACAGATATATGGAGGACTGAACTGACTAAAACAAGCAGCAAGTAAAATAAGTTGAACTTATGAACCTAATTTTAGATAAAACAACAAGTCCAACTTTAGATTGTTCTGCAGGTTATATCAGGTTCCAGCTGCAGTTTGACCCAGTTGTTCTACTCTGTTGGATAAGACAGCAATAAAGTCATGTGAGGGGGTAAAAACCCAGTGAGGACTCTATAAATGAATAAAGTCCATATTCAGATCTTCAGCACTAATAAATCCTCCTGCAGTCATAAAAGGCTTGAAGTCTCCCTGATAGAAAAGGTGCCTCAATAAGCATTTCTCTCAAATTCAGCAGGAAACACGATTCAATCCTGCAAAAGAAGCACATTTTTTGCCATATTTCCGTCAACAGTTTGGACTCACGATATTGTAGGCAGCAGAGAGCATTGTGGGAGTTTAGCAGCAACAGAACTCTGAGGAGGTTCATGACCTTGTGTTTGCCACGAGTAAACACTGAACAGCTCACAGAGTATAAATATCCTAGATCTGGATCAATGACAAGCAGATGTTTAATGAGCTGTAGTCGTCTGAGTGACGCCTCCTCTGGTCTGTACAGTACTAAACAGGCTCCACCTGGTGGAACAACCAGGTACTACAGCTGACATCATGTTCTTTGACTTCTACCTCGTTAGCTACGATTGTTCATCTCTGAAATGAACAAAAAAGGACAAATTCTTAAATATCCTATCCTAAATATCTGAGAGTCTTCCTAGTTTTGCAGTTTCTGGCTGATAAACTGTCAGCTGAGTGATTTATTTATTTTCCCTTAAAGACAACAACCCGGTTTTTCAGGAAGGTAAATCAGATAATCGTCAGCCGCAGCCCTGATGGGTTTAAACTTGTCTCGTTTCAGGCGAAGTTCGACGCCGAGATGCCCAGTGAAACCGTCAGTAAGATCCACCTGGTCGATCTGGCCGGCAGCGAGCGAGCCGACGCCACCGGAGCCACCGGCGTCCGGCTGAAGGAGGGAGGAAACATCAACAAGTCGCTGGTCACTCTGGGAAACGTCATCTCGGCTCTGGGTCAGAAACACGAGATATTAATGTGCTGATGGGAAGCTTGGCATCGTCCGTCTGGCTTCTTGTTCTCTTTGTGTTGCTTTGATCCTCTCTGTTCCTTGTTTCCGTCCAGCCGACATGACGCAGGACGGCGTGAACACCAACCTGAAGAAGAAGTCGGTGTTTGTTCCCTACAGAGACTCTGTGCTGACGTGGCTGCTGAAGGACAGTCTGGGTGGAAACTCCAAGACCATCATGATCGCCAGTGAGCACCAGACCGTGCTGTGGACAGGTTGTTATACGTTGGATTGGTTTATAACCACCTCTGTTGTTTCAGCCGTGTCCCCCGCTGACGTGAACTACGGCGAGACGCTCAGCACTCTGCGCTACGCCAACCGAGCCAAGAACATCATCAACAAACCCACCATCAACGAGGACGCCAACGTCAGGCTGATCAGGGAGCTGCGGGCCGAGATCGCCCGGCTCAAGGCTCTGCTGGTTCAGGGCAACCAGGTAACCTGACGGTCACACAGAGGAGGAGTTCTCAATGTTCTCTCACATGACTTGTGCAACTGGCGCAAAGTTTTTTAAGATAACCTGCTTTTTTACCTGCTGGCTGGTTTTGGGGTTCAGAGGGTTAAATATAATGAAATATTTCAAACTAGGTGTAAATCTTTCTTTTCATTTTATTGATGCTGTTGTTGTGGTCCTGCAGCCAGTGAAAGTGTTTGTGTTTTCCGTCAGATTGCTCTGCTGGATTCGCCCACAGCTCTGAGCATGGAGGAGAAGCTGCACCAGAATGAAGCCAGAGTGAGTCGCATGTCGTCCTCGTGGAGAATTCAAGCATCTCAATGTACCAAAAGGGCACCAAGACACTGAGCAGCTCACCAGCGGCTCACCATCTGCTGACCTGCAGCACCAAACTACACAAACCTTTACAGTGTATTTATGTCAGGATTCGTGTTGGTTTGTGTTTGCAGGTCCTGGAGCTGACCAAGGAGTGGACCAACAAGTGGAACGAGACTCAGAACATCCTGAAGGTAACGTCATCAACAGCGTTTAACCAGCTGCACAAACAGACCAGTGTTTGAAAAAAAGATGTGCGATCAGAAAGGTCTGCGTTTAGAAGAAGCAGCGTTCATTCTGAGGGTAAGTATGGAGTCCAAACTGACCCAAAGCACGTCGGAAAGGCTTTAATATGACTTTACATTACAAAATCCTCGGTCTCTTGGAACTCGTCCAGAATAGCAAAAAAATATATAAAAAATGACCCATAATGACTCAGACATGAAGTCATTTAATCAAAATGACTTGATGTGGGAAGAACTAGTTCTCAGTAACAAACACTCGTATAGAATGACTCGAATGTCTCCAGAATGACTAGAAAACTGTCCAAGATGACTCAGAACCGTTTAAATCGACAAAAGCTTGTCCTGGATAAATGTGACCAGAACAACATAAACGTGTTGAAAATTACTGAAAAACATCTGAAATTATGCAGTGTGTCCAAAATGACTCCAAATCAGTCTGAAATGAGAAAAACGTTCCCGAGCTCACATGGAATATGTCCAACATGACTAACTAGTACCTACTGCCTTCAAGTTTAAAATGCCAACAGTTTGGCCTAAATGAGAAAGAAAATGACTCAGACGATCCTAAAGGAGGCAAACTCTGTCCAAAGTGACTCCAAATTAGTGTAGAATGACAGAGCTCGACTGAGGTCCGTTAAAACCCGTTCAGAACAACAGAAAGTTTCCAAAACGACTTGAGAAATGATCCACAGAGACTCAACACTGGTCCGAGATGACTCGAGCTTCAGTGCAGCTTCTGGACTCGACCTCCTCAGAACATCTGCTGCTAGCTGCTCCTCTAGCAGCGAGTCTTTCTGAAACAGACGTTCCTCCTCCACATAGTTTCCTGTGTGTGTGGTCCTACAGCTGTGGTCCTACAGCTGTGCTCCATGTGTGCTGGTCCGGTCTAAACCCTCCTCTCTGTCTTGCAGGAGGAGACTCTGGCTCTGAGGAAGGAGGGCATCGGCGTGGTGTTGGACTCCGAGCTGCCTCACCTCATCGGCATCGACGACGACCTCCTCAGCACCGGCATCATCCTGTACCATTTGAAGGTCCGACCGAGCCTGCGGCCAGAACCGCACAAATCCAAATGTACCACATGGCTCAGCCCGGCTCGTTTCAGGCAGCAGCTCAGCTCCACCGTCTGATTTGTTATTTAGAAGCTGTTAAATTTAATGTGAAGCAGCTCTGCACATCCAGAACCAACATCTAGAACCTGTGAAGTCCAGGTTCTGGTTCCTACCAATGATCCACATTTAGTCTGAACATGTAGAACCAGAACCTTGTCTGGTCCAACTTCACCACATCCGGTTCTACTGATGTTAGAGCCTCAACAGCTGGTGATTCTAGTAGAACCATGGATCCATCCGTAGACAGACACTGACAGGACCTTTCTGGATCAGCACCAGCCTGCTTTATTGAAGCCTTGTGCATCTTTCCTTTTCCAAGGAACGATAGTCATAGTTGTGTCCTGTGCTGGATCCATTCAACCATTTGGTCTGAGGAACTGTTCTGTCTGTCGCCACAGTTAATTTTGTTTGTGGAGATGCTGAACCTGAAAACGTCCTCACAGCTACGACGCTGTGAAGAGGTGACGGCAGAGAAACCTCCGCTCTGGAAACATCTAGTGTCGTCAAACACACGAGTGAACGGTGGACCGAGCAGCGTGTTCTGCCTGAAGCGACTCCGGTCTGTATGTGGGGATGTTCACCAGAACTAACGCAGTGTGTTGTTTCCCCTCAGGAGGGCCGGACCTACGTGGGCCGAGAGGACGCGTCCACGGAGCAGGACATCAGTGAGTCCGCCCCTCTGACCAATCACTGGGAGTCGGTCTGAGCCTCAGAGACCAGTCAGAGGGACTCTTTGTGGTCACTTTGTGTGTCTTTGTGCTTCAAACCTGACTCATTCATTACTATTATTAACCTTTATTTAATCCCACTGCGAGCAACAACCTCTCCTGTGAGTCCTGGCCAAGACAAGCAGCAGCACATACAAAACACAGTCACACAATTACACAGTTAAAACATTATTGAAACACAAACAATTACATTTACAAGCAGGTGATGAAAACCAGTGGAGTGGGCCTCAAGAACTCTGATTGGATTCAGAGCACTCGATGAGATGAACTCGGTTAGTTTCCTGATGTCGTGTTTGTGTACTGACGCTCTGTGTGTGTGTGTGTGTGTGTGTGTCCGGTGTTGTTGTTGTTGTCCTGCAGTTCTGCACGGTTTGGACCTGGAGAGCGAACACTGCATGTTCGAGAACCAGAACGGGAAGGTGACTCTGGTGCCGCTCGGCGGAGCTCAGTGTTCGGTGAACGGAGTCCAGGTGACGGAGCCGTCGCAGCTCAACCAAGGTGAGGAACCCGCTTCACTTAAAGCTGTTCAGCACGTTTAATCCAGTCTGACTAACGAGTATTCATGCAGGTAAACAGTTTACTGAGACTCTCATTGTTGCTGCGTGGCACAAACAGAGACACAAACTCTTTCAAAATGACTCATAAATGATGCAAACTGTAAAAACCAGTGACTCACACTTTCTACAGTGAAAATTAAAAGGTGTCCAACAAGACTTTTCAAATGTCCAACATGACATCCAGATGACTCTCATGTTACCCGAATGCCTCAAAATGTCTCCAACAAATAAATCGAGCTGACGCTTGTCCACAAAGTCAGAAAATTGTCCAAAGTTATCCACAGCTTGACCCAAATGAGCTGAAACACGTCTGAGCAGGTGATAGAATCTGAAAAGACGATCAGTTAAATGTGTCAAAGGTTTAAAATGTCCAAAACGACAACCAGTGACCCTCGTGTTGCCGAGAGGCTCAGAACGTGTCCCCCGGGCTGAGCGGGTCGTCCAGAACGCTGTGTTTGTGTTGACGGCTGTTGCGTTGCCTCCAGGTGCCGTTATTCTGCTCGGCAGGACCAACATGTTTCGCTTCAACCACCCGAAGGAGGCAGCCAAGCTGAGGGAGAAACGGAAGGTGAGACCGTCCGTCCGTCCGGTTCTGGATGTTCTGACGGTGTCGGTCAGAGTTTCTAACCACATTGTGTTTCCTCCTCAGAGCGGCCTGCTCTCCACCTTCAGCCTGTCCATGACCGATCTGTCCAAGTCCTGCGAGAACTTGTCCACCGTGATGCTCTACAATCCAGGGTGAGTCCTCGAACGCACCGCGAGCCGGCTGCATGTGATGATCCGCTGCAGTGCATCTGCTCTTTACATCAGACCTCAGACTGAGCACTGAAACGTCCCGCAGACAGTGAATCAGCCGTAGATCTGCCTGTCAGCAGGCAGCTTAAACTGTGGACCTGCAGGAACCGTGTAGAACCTTTGGCAGTTCCTACAGCGGCTAAACTGCTGGCAGGTCTTGATGCTGATTGGCTAACCTTCTGAACCCCAGAACCTGCTGGCAGG